CGAGTTCCTTAATTTAGTAGACAATAATGAGACCCGATTTAATATGTTCAAATGTCGGCTTGCTGGAACAAATGGCATTCACTGTAATTTATTTTTGGTAATATTTTCAGTATTACTTCTGATATTACGCGAATTTGAGTGACGACGTCTTAAAGTTTTTGTTTTTGAAGTCTTAATAGGCCAAAGTTTTCAAACTAACTATAATGAAAAGTTTTAATGACAAAAAATAATTAAGTTTATTTTAATAAGCGTGTAAAATAATGAATCTCAAGCAATATTTGTTCTACTTGTATAATTTTTATTTATACTGAACTGTACTATTTCATAAGTATGCATGCTTTATATGTTTGAACAGTATTGTTTCCGTCCATTGTATCTTTTTTTATTTATATAAGAATGATATTCAATTTTGTAGAAAGTTGTATGTTGGAGACTTGTCATTGTGAAATTATTACTAATAATCCGTCCTAAAGAATCAAATAATTGTTAAGAGTAATTTGTAGTTTTCGTTTTTTAGACAAGTGTACATTTTTGTGCCTTAATATGACTTTTATTTTTATTTTAAATTGTAAATTAAACAAGCAACAAGTTTTCTAAAACGCACATTTGACCGTAAATTGCTTACGGTTAAAAAGGTTGACATAATAGGGTGTGGGACTCTATTGTGAGTACTACTGGAAACCATTTTTCATATATTTATCATTTTTTTAATAAAATCTTACAATTAATGATTTTGAAAATGTACAGATATCTTTGCAAATGAATAAAATATTGAAGGATTTTTTTATATAAATGTCTTTGTCATTATCAAATCTCTTTAAAATTGTTTTTAGTAATTAACGTTATTGCACTATAAATTTTATTCAGGTAATGACAATATAAATACGTCAAGGTACAAACTATGTTGTAAGACTTGAAGGCCTCGTTGCAATTATATCGTAGGTATTTTATTTCTTTTGTGATTTTTGTACTTTTTTGAATTAATACAGTAATTTACTTAACAGTTAAGGTGTGTATTGTGAACGTATTTATGTGCCTTCAAAAAAGTTTAACGGGTACATATGTATACTGGGTGTCTCAGGAAGAATAGCGTATGTTTTGGGAGATGTTAGTACTGATTGTTTTGAGTAAAAAGTTCAGATAAATGCTTCGTTTCAGAGATGCAACGTTTTAAATATTAGACAAAAAAAATTTTGTACTTCAAAAAACCGTTTTACACAACTTTAAGAGGTTACATATTATAGTAGATATGCATCATTTAGCTGACTATGAGTTTTTCAAATATCTGCAACTGGGTTTGTGAGGGTAGTCTCTTAAAAAAAGTATGCTTTAAATTGATGAAAAATTAATATGATAATCTGAATGTACAATAAATATTTATTTAAATTAACGCAATAGTAATGGTCAGCTTACTGTATAGTACACGTACGAGTTTTTATTGTATTTTCAGAATATCATAGCTTTTCATCAATTTCATGCACTTTTTTTCAAAAAAATTACCCTCGCACACTTAGTGGCGCCGCCCCCGTTGCAGGTATTCAAGTAAGCTCCTATTATTTTTGTTTTACCAACTAATTTGTGCTAATTTACTACAATATTTTAGCAAGTTACGTAGAATTGAGTAAAAACGTATTTTGTGGTGTTATAAAAGTATTTTTTGTCCGAATTTTAAATTCTAAAGCGTTTCCGGATAAATTTATCTGAACCTTTTTCTCAGATTGGTCAGTATACTGTCTTGCAAAAATATGTTGTTCTTCCTGATACACTCTGTGGGAAAAGGGTATGTAGCTCGTCTATTTTGGAAGTGTACTGTTTATTTGATATTTTATTTAATAAAAATTGTGTATATATAAAATTTTATGCTGTTAATTTATTCTCCGGAACTTTAAAAGAAAAAGAATACATATAAAAATATAAAACAGCGGTAATGTTTCCTACTTCATCAAAAATATTTGTTGTCAAATTATAATTTTCTTTAATTTATTGCATTATTGCATTAAACATTTTATTTCATCTCATAATACTGAGAAATAAATAGGGTCAAAAAGTAGTATTTGTGAACTTCTTTATGCGTGAATTGTTTTAGATTTTTCAGATATGTTGAAAGGATGGTATTGTTATCGTATATTTTGCATCATTATTACAAGTTGATAGCATACCTTTTTTGGTACGAAACCCGTAACATTATACATATTACAAAACTAAACGCAACTTTAGAAATATGTATTTATATTTTTCTACTTTTTTTGCAGTTTTACTAATTGAACATGTGATTTATTTGTAATGTCATAATGGGAAAAGTTTATGCGGAAGCATATTACGATCATGACACTAACGTTATTTTTTTAAGAAAAATATAAATGGCTTACTTACATAGATCTACCATAGCTTCTAATCGATCAGTCCCAAACGTCTTATTAATTTCAGTTTTAGAATTTAATCTTTCTCAACTTTAAACGGCCAATAATTTACACAAACTGATATTTCTTTGTTTTGTTGTTGAGGCAACCGTGATTTACTTTAAAGACTAGTCAGTAGGTATAATAGTTTGTATGGCATTTAGATACTTTCTGTTTAATTAAAAGCATATGCTTTTTAAAATAATATACTGATACTTAAGTGCTTTATTTTTTATATAAATTTAGCGGTAACATTAAATTTGGCGCTTAACGAATTACAATAAATACATATGTGTAGTATTCGAACTATTAATTATTGTGAAAGGTAGAATGAGCAGCAAGTCTAAATTTATACCTTATTGGAAAGGATTAGATTTAATATCTTAATTAATGTCACTGTAAAAACTATATTAAAATCATAATTACAAAAAAGCTACATTCAATTTACTAAGAGTTCATTAAAAATTTACATAGTTCTAATT